CAGGGACAGGGGGAGGGCCACGGCCCCGCAGAGCAGCAGGACGAGGGTGAAGGAGACGATGAGGTTGGTCACGGTGAAATCTGCAGCCCAGAGACCAGAGAGAGGCGCTGTGGCCGGGCCCGGGGGACACAGAGGGGTAGTCCTTCGGGTCCCACGGCCGCTCTTGGGAGCTCCTCGGTGAGTGGCCCAGGGGACCCCACCACGCAGGCTGCCTCTACCCATGTCTGGGTCCCGGGGAACCCTGCCTGTGCCGACTCTGGCCTGAGAATGTCTCACCGCCAGTGACTGCTGCCGCCCTCGAGCTCAGTCAGCACACAGGGCAGCGCGTCAGGGCACAGCGGGCAAGCACAGCGGATGGCAGCTGGGCCTGGGTTCAAGTCCCAGCCCCCACCTACTAGCCGTGAGCCTCTGCGCCATCTCCTCATCTATAAAAGGGGGAAGTACGGCGCTGACCCCACACGCTGGCTGTGAAGGCCACAGCGCATGCCCTACCGAGTCTTCACCTGTTATCGGACCCCGAGGACAAGCTCAGGAGGGAAAGACGATCATCACCCGTCTCCACAGATTAGACCCTGAGGTCCAGGGAGGTGAAGGGACTTGCCCAAGGTCACGCGCCTCCGAGAGCAGAAGCAGGATCTGAACCCAGACCCCTACCCACGCTGCTGCGTGCGTCAGCGAGTGACTGTAGAAGACACTCAAGGCTGGACCCACAGGGGAGGCTTGAGTGGCACCGAGCTGGTCGTGTCCTTCACACCCCAAAGGGCCCTGCGAAGCTGTGAGGACTCACTGGACTTGCCAGGCACTTCCCACACCTGGCCAGGCACCCCGTGCCGGAGTGCGGGCGTGACTCATCGGGTGCCCGGCTGTGGGTCCCTGAGGTGCTGCTTACAGCTTCCTCTGGGCACACCTGTCCACCTCCGGCAGGAGCCTGGTCTTCACCCCCCCACCCCCCCAGTGCCCGCTGAGAGCCTGGCAGCCTATGTATTGGCTTCAGCAGCTGTGACAGGGGGCCCTGTCTCCTCCGAGGGCTGGGAGGGTAGGAGAAGGCCCTTCAGGGGACGCAGCTTACACCACCTGCCCGAATTGCGGATGTGCGGCCCCTCCTGCCCCCGCCCAGCGGGACCGCTGCCCTGACCCTGACCGACTCACACTGCCAGGTGAGCAGGAGGCACACCTCCTTCGACCAGATCCCCTTGTTCAGGCGCGAGGCCACAGCCGGCTTCACCCGGACACAGAACTCCCCAAACTCGCCGTTGGTCGGGAAGCTGAAGTTCTCGTGTTTCACCTTCTTGTTTGCGGGCTGAAATGGAAACAAGAGCAATAAACAGAACAGCTGGTTTCCCGCAGCCACCCGGGCCCTGAGAGCCGGCGGGCCTCCGAGCTGACGGGCATCCCTCTGCTTCGTCCTCTGAGGGAACCAGCCCTGGGTTGGCAGCACGGCCGCCAGCCCTGTGGCCACCAGGACCTATTGTTGTTTTGTGAATCCTCACCTGAGGGTTGTTTTCCCCTTGATCGATTGATTTCGTTTTATTTTTTTAGGGAGAGTGGCAGGGAGGGAGGGGGCAGGGGGAAAGAGAGAAACATCGATGTGAGAGAGACACATCGATGGGTGCCTCCCACATGTGTACCGACAGGGTTCGAACCTGCAACCGAGGTCCATGCCCTTGACTGGGAATCAGACCCACGACCCTTCCGTGTGTGGGCTGCTGTTCTAACCCTGAGCAGCAGCCGTGGGGCTACCTGGCTTATTTTGTATTAAAGAGAAAAGGGTGGGTTTCGTAGGGGCTGAGGGCCTTCCCAGACGCGGTGAGCTCTGCTGTGGTGTCAGGGAAAGGATGGATTTTGCAGGTTCCAGAGCTCCCAGTTATGGGTGTCAATGCCACAGCCCCTGAGCCCCACTCCCTCTCTGTCCAATGGGATGAGACAGCTCCTCCAAGGGGATGGGAAACAATGGTTACAAAATGTCCTGGGCGGTGCCCACCGGGGGGGCAGTGCGCCCGCTGCCACCTGCAGGGGCGCCACTTGGGCTGGGTGCCCTCAGCGCCCTGCTCCACCCCAGGTCCTCCCTCTGCCGGCACAAGGGGGCGAGGGGCAGGGGGCGCAGGCCCCACGCCTTGGGAGCCCCGTACCTCGTAGTAGTCTTCAGGCACCTTGCGAATGGAGACCTCGTACTCGCGGAAGTGGGGGAAGATGCTCTCGTAGGTGTCG